ACAAAAGTATTTCCAAACTGGTACCTCCGAAATACCTCCGAAGCAGCTTCTTTTCTATTATGACTACGCACCTAGCATCTTGTTTTGTTTTGCTAGTAGGTAGTACCTACTACTAGGTACCAGGTATCATAAAACTCTGCTGTATGATTATTATGTATGATTGCTATGATAATGAGTGCTAAATAATAACCTATGATGATTAATAGGTTGTATGATGAATATAATTGCTATATGATTATTGTAATTTGAAACTGTTAATATATCATTGGATAGCGTTTGACTTCAACACTATCCAACAACGAGAGCCATTCTTTCAATTTATACGATCGAGAATGTAATATAAATTATAGTTATATGAAACGTTTTATGAGAACGTTTTACAGAAGTAACGAATATCTACAAATTGATCCAGAAGCGACAATAAACGGATATCTACTGATTGATCCATTGTATAATAAACTTTTAACAATTATTTTTTTTAATGAAAAATATATGTATTTATAAAATTTCTACTCTTTTTGAGCACGTGAAAAACTGTTGAACCTAGTATATTCTAAGTACCATATTAAAATGAACCTGTAATCTCAAAGTAAAAAGCGACACTCATAGTTCTACGAAGAATGTTGAAACCTAAACAAAGTAACAGCTATGTACGTTAATCAAGTGACGATAAATGGATCGTTAAAGAAGCTATATGAAACATGAGGAACGGAAAATAGATGACTGTTATACAGTCGGTCAATTTAGCTAGCTTTCAACCGCAGCTGTCCTCCGTCCGTCTCAGCTGACTACTGATTTATTTTCGGCATATAATGATAGGCTTATATGTCGCCCATAATCACAAATCGTATAAAGATGTGTTCAATTTTGAAATCTCTAAACAGCGCTTATTATCATCAACGTGTTATTAAGTCAAATAGATTGTGTCCAAACGCGGTATCCATTTTTTGTTTGGTTTGTTATGACTAAATATTGAAGTAACCAATTTTTTAATTTTAAGTATTAATATTTTATATTTTTCTAGGCAGTTGTTTTAATTGGTATACTTTTAGGATTTTAACACACTTTAATACGAAATTGATCAACCCATATTATAACATCCATTAGTTGGAATTAAACATTATTTTAAGAATCCTTACAGTAAGCAGAAAAATATCCAGTATTGTATATTATTCGTATATTGTTCATTGGACTATTACTTTTTTCCAATTATCCTGGAATGTGAACTCTATTAAGAGCCTCTTCCGTAATATATAAATTAATTATACCCTATTATCAATTATTATATATATTTGTAGCTGACAATATGATAAATTTTGTATACAATAGTCTTCTTTTGTATAATCCAGTAGCGCAATAACAAGAAATAATTTATTTTTTTGACCCACAGACTTTGATGAATGCCTGGCTCATTCAAATTGCACTTAGACTCTATCTTAAATCTCTTACAAAAGAACAATAAATAATAAAAACGACAAAATTGAAGAAACATAAAAAACGGGGAGATAAACCATTGTTATGTTAATAAATATAAATAAACGTAGAAATAAAACGGCAGCAAAAATAATTTTTTTTTGTTGATAAATAAATATAAAAGTTAAAAAAAATAATATTTTGTATTAAATGAAATTAACATTGGCATAATTACAATCAACTTAAGGATCATGATATTTTTTATGAAATAAAATATATATTAAAAAGAAAAGTAAATTTATTTATTCAAATTATTTAATAAATATTTATATTTTTGTTATAATAATAATGATACTATAGTTCAAAATTAGGCAATCATTAATTACGAAAATATTGTTCCGAAAATATAAACGGTTTTGTCACATTATACGCAGGCGTGCAAAAAAATTTCCCCAAGGCAAAAAAATTCAGGCGTCCGGATAAAGCAGAGATACGAATTTATGGTAAAACAAAGAATTTATGTAAATAATAATTCAAATTCATAGCTAAATATAAATAAATAAATAAAAAGATATGTAAGTAAATCGAAAACTATTTCATATTATTTATTGTATGAATATAATTAAATCTCATATACAGTCGAAAAAAACGATCAATTGACAATGAAATTTGTCCAAAAGCAGGTAACTTCTTAAAAGTATCAGCTAATTTTTCTTCATTCTTTTCCGACTACATAAATATAATTATAATATCTATCACACATTGCTTAAGGTTTATGAAAATCTTTTCATCTACATAAACTTCCAAATTTTCTGGAACACTTTTGAGAATATCTTCATCAAAAAGGTGGTTTGCAATAATTACAGTATCAGTAACATTGACATGTCCTTAAGTAATGCATTAGCACTCGCAAATATTTTAAATCAAGACTGCAAAATAGCTAATCCGCTAGTTGTACAAAATGTTCTTCATCCAAAGGTGTACTATGTTTTGTTTGAGTACCAAGTTATAGAAAAAGATTTCTGGCACATAAAATGAATATCCAATTTTAGATCGCTTTGTCTATATCTAAAACTTAGATAAAACTTAGAACCTTGTTTGGTTTATTAATAAAAGTATTGACTATTACATTACTAATCTTAGGTTTGTTTTTTAGACACGCAAATAAATTACTGGAAGGAATCACAAATTGTTCAAATATGATTTGAGAAAATCACATATCGAAAACGCATCAACTTTCAAACTATTTCTGTAAAAAATTCTACTCTATATATAAGTTCACTACATTTTTTATTGATGATGTTGTCATTCTGAATTCTTATTATAGTGGAAAAAGACATCATAGCAAAAATTGTTTGTGATGTTGTCATTCTGTGCTCTTATTATAGTGGAAAACGACACCATAACAAGAATATTCTTCATCTCTTAACCTGCACTCTACAGTTCCTTTCCACGACTGTATTTTACATATATTCAATCACAATATTATTTAATAAATGTTTCAACTTTCAATGAATGTCTATTCATAATTTTGTAGCAGAAGTTAATTTGTTACTTGATTTTTTTCTGATTTATGTCCAATAGTATATAAACCTATATATATAATTACTGTTACACCCATATCTTTAGTATTCCAAATAAACGTTTATATATGATAGCCGGTATCTTCAACTGGATTGTAGTTCCACATAATTTTTTTCCATATAATTTAGAACTAAGTTAAAGTTTGTGTTAAAGAGATATAGTTAAAGTGTCTGTTATTATGTCACGGCACTTAGGTCTATTAACCGTCTATGTGTATGACTACATATTTTTTGAGTTAAAATCTTTTATGATTCTATGATTCTTTTGTTTATACTGCTGAAATATATAATAAATTGTAAATTGTATTTCCTTCTTTTGCATAATTTTAATAGAAGGAATTGTCAAACTATAACCACTGCACACGATTTTCTCTGTGTCTCTATAACATGTCCGGGTTGAAGATGGTTTATTTGAAATAATTTAAAGTAAGTTAGCTGATTGAATCAGTTGTAGCATAAAAATATATGACGTCTATATATTTTATGCCTAGTAAATAGGTTCTGTTAGGTTCGGCATTCGATGAAGCGGGTGTAAAAAGTTGACATAAAATAATATAATCATGTTCTGTGTCACAGCAAGAGCAAAAAGATCAAACACATTTTCAACTTATTTATCACTATATTCAAAGTTATTGTCTTATAGCTTTTCAAGTTTTTTATTATTTTGATAAGTAAAAATACGATTGAATATTAAAACATTTTATTAATCCTACAATTGATTATTACTACTTCATACATTTACTTTTTTTTTATTACCACCATTTTTTTAAATAAAAAACGATTTATTTATTAATGCTTAAGTCCTTACTTATATTACTTATATATTATATTACTAATTTTAGTAACATGTACATATATCCTATTGAATTAATACGATCCCTTATTTTACTGTTGGGTGCTTTAGCATTTAATTATAGATAACCGTTTGTCAATACAGCGTGTAATAACATTAATCGACAATATGAATTGAGCATATGGCTAATCGAATAATTGTTATACAATTAAAACCAATGTATACAAGAATAGTACTTTTGAATACATTCAATTTTTGTTCCCACGCATTACATATTATGAGGTCAATTCTGGGCTTTGTATATCAATTACTTAATTAAAAAAATATTTATACAAGTTTTAACGTTAAAAAGCAATTTTAGAAATAAAAAATACTTTACGAAGTTAATTTTAAAGAAATCATATTCTTCATTTTTATTTTTAGTGTGGTTAATGTATTTTTTCTTTTATTAAACAATGTAGCTCACGGAGAGACAAGCTAACGTCAACTTTTCAAGTGCCATTCAGATCTCGTATAATAATTGTTTCTAAAAAATACGAACGAGTAGAATTCCCCACACAAGAAAATATTAATAATATTAATAGCAACATGAAAAAAATGTATATACATGAACATTTTTCAATAATAACTATTATCAATAATAACTATTAGTAACGTCTCTTATGGTTACAATAGATGTCATTCTCTTGCGAAAAGATTATTTTATTTTTTTAATAATCCGTGACTATATGAAATCTTCTTCTTGAATCTTCGCTCAACTAAAAGAACTATCTCTAAATTATTTCTAAGTCTTGAGATCTCTAATCTGACAAACTAAAGCTAGGATATAACATTCAACTAATCGAAATAATTTCATGTTATATATATAATATTATATATATAATATATTATATATATATAACATGATGTATATATAATATATATATATTATATATACATCAGGTTACATGCATACATATCTATGCTATTAGCCCAAAGGAAAATGATTGTTATTGTTATAATCATGTTGCCCTTTGTTTAAAGATTAAGTATCAAATATATCACAAGATTTTAATGGAAGGGTTGGGAACAAAGATATTTATTTACATCGTTTGGTCATTTGTGGAAGCTCAGCATATTACAAATATTTCTGATTAGTCAACAAGTAATTTTGCTAACAAGTTCATCAAGTTAAAATATGAAATAATTTGTTTAAATAAAAAGTATCTGTATAATCTTTAATTTTTAATTCAAACTTGAAAAGTACATTATTAAAAGAAAAGCTATTTAATACATAAAATAATCCATGTCCAGGGCTATTTTAATTCATCCATAAAAAACTATTTTCACTTAGCATTATTTTTTTCTGCTTCATATTTATAATGAAGTTCTTGGCAATCGGTATCAGAAATATGTACCCAACCATCGGGAGTCATGTGGTATACTCGAACAATACCACCAGAATAGGCATCTCTAAACGTAGCATGATAAATAGCACGTCTGCCAAGTTCATGAGCAGCTTCGTCTTCCAGATCCCACTTATAACCAGAATCGAGCACACCATATGCAAAAATAGATCCGCTTCCTACAGAGAATAAATTACCAGGTGTACGTGAACCATCAGAATCGACATAATACAATCCTGGGCCACGTTTATCGTATCCTGCCAACATCATACCCATGCTTAATCCCATACCTTTATACTCATGTGCAATATTCTGCATAATTTTGCTAGCAGCGGCTACCGAAATACGTTCTTTGTTACGAAGTTCATGCAGACGACATTCTTTAGCCAATACGCGGTCCCAATAAACACAATCTGCAGCACCTCCAGCCAATGTACCCAATAAGTATTTATTTATTTCGACAATTTTTTTCATAGTTTGTGAACCGATAAATTGACCGCCTGTAGCACGCGAGTCTACAGCCAATACCACACCACCCTGATATTTAAATCCTAGAGTAGTAGTACCATGATCGAAGTCAATTTTTAAACCAGCTTCAGATTGAAATTTTTTTAAATTTTGCACCGGCTATATGAAAAACTAATGAATAAGAAAATCACATTCAATATATTTATTATATACATACATTTGAATATGGTGGAGCTTGCAAACAATGAAAATTGTTTAATCCTATGGAAAGGGTTGAACTAAGCATTGTTTCATGATCAAATATTTTATTTGTATCGTTAAAATTACAAATTTCACTTAAAGCCATTTTATTCAGACACCGACGATTCCACAATGACAATCAACTTTAAACAAAACCTGCATGTAATGTTGACTTTATTATAAATGGAATGATGAGGTATGAAACATGTCAAAAGAAACGGGATGAAACATTCAAATAATAAAATAAATGTATATTCTTTTAAAAAATTTTAAAAATATTTTTGAGTTTCCGAAACGAGAACAATTTTGTATGTTAAGATATTCGAGATCAAGGATTAAAATATATCGTTTCTTTTGCATCAATTGACTTTCAAAGATACTTCAATAGTTGTTAAAAATAAAATTCTCTACTTATTTGATCTTTGACAATTTCTTATTCAACTAATCGCTCATCAAATAGTGCGCGAAGAATGGAAGCATTTAACAATAAGTATGACAACGCCAGACCAAATGTGGAAACAGTACACAAATTTTAGTAGAGAATTTTATAGTTGATTCTCTGCTAAAAATATTATAATTATGAAAAACTTAGTGTTATTTACTAACTTATATATTAATATATTTTATTATAATTTTTTTTCTAATTTGATTTATAGCAAAAGTACCCTTAAAAATAATTTTCCCACAAAGGAAATCACCAAAATATGAAAAACGTTTTATACGTCATACTTTTTATATGTAAAATGTAAACAAATAACAGCTGAGCTGTATACAAAGATACTGACGAAATATGTATTTTATAAAGTTTGTTATTATTAATTGAATATGTTATTAATATATAAAATGTATATAAATGATTTAATTTATCAATAACAACTTTTGTTGTGTAATATATTAAGTGAAATTCATAAAATTCCTATCACCTGCATAAATGATATGAACGTTCGCTCATTAATATAAAAAAGTGCCAAGTGCCTAAATGAGACAGTTAATGTACTATTAGGTATTAGCATATTAGATTAATTTATTTAAATTAAAACCACAATTAAATTTTATTTTCAATATTTTGAAACTTTTTATTAAATATTTTATTTTATTTTCGTTGCATTGTGAGTACATAAAAATTTATTTTAAATGTGTATTTATTCATATAGTGCATATATGTTAAAAATTTTATTGTAAAAAATTGTTTATAGAAAATTAATTCCATAAAATTATAAATATTGTTCTCATTTGATTAATTTAGATTAGCTCCAGATTTAAATAAATATTTTCAATATTAATCCATATTATCGTCACAGTAGCTGCATCCAGTTGCTTTGAAATACGTCAAAAAACTTGCTAGTCTTTTTAAAATTTTTAAGTTCTTATAAAAAATTTGATGTATAGTCTAGAGAATGTTAAAAGCATTTACATATGTTGAATATGAAACTTTGTCCTTCATTCAATTTGACATTTGTTACAAATCAAATTAAATTAAAAATGACATGAAATTTCATGTTGAAAGATATAATAGCAATATAATAAATAATAGAAAGATACATATTTTCCATAATTTTCAAATTTGTGATATATAATAATTTCATGAAAGTTTTTGTTTGTAAAAAATGTTTGACATATGACTGAAAGTCTCGATAAAATTTTAAATTAAAGTTCACAATAGATGACATATCGCTTTGATGTGTTTGGAATACCTTTTGTTTTCGTTTGAATAATTTAGATTCGCTTCACATTTACTTTTGATTTAGAAAATTTACAGGGCAATTTTAACAAAGATAGTTAAAAGTCTTTCGAAAGATGCTTAATAGTGTATCTTTCGTTCGTCTTTTGTAAGACAGAAAAGAGGTTTAATTTCTTTTTCTATATATTTTTAGCAAATTTATTTAAAATAAAGTTTTTAGCAAGGTCAAGAATCATGTTTTATAAGATTTATTATGACTATGATGATTTGTCAAACGAATACAATTTCATGTGATTAGGGGTAAACTCGGAGTTAAAAATGTACAATTAAATAAACAGGAAAAATGTATTTAAATTTTCAAAAATTTTTAAAAGTGTGAACGAGTATCCTAAATACATATGATTTTGTGTATTTACTTACAATACTTTGCCTGTAATACAAATAAATTAATCAGTTAGCTACAAAATTTTTTCGTTAAATTGTACACTTTAATGTAATATGTTCACAATAGCTATATTTATTCACTGTGGCAACTGTTTATTTAAAAATCGATCATTTTGCTAGTAGTGACGATTGCATTAAAGTTAATATGGCTGTCGCCCTTTTCGTGTGTATGCGTGTATCTACCCAATTTTTATAATATTTAGCAGACCTAGAGTGAAAAATATTTTTAATACTTTTAAAATAAATACTTGAACGTAAGTGGTGAAGTTTTGGAGTGTATATGGCAGTGGTTATAAAAATAAGAAATAAAATACTGAAAGTTTTGAATTGTGTGTATACCGTTCAATAATACCTTGAAATTGTTGAACTGGTCCATTTAAAATACATACATATACATAATAATGATTTTACCTTAGCAGATAAACTAGCTCTTTTTGTTATAAATATATATATGTACATATATATATATATATATAGAGCTTTTGTTCACGTCGAGTTCAACTATTTAAACAAATAAAAATCTTGATTGCAAATATACGAACTAAAAATCGTTTCCTGTTAATAAATATAATCATGTTAATAAATTAAAAATATAAAACAAATCTTTAAATGTATGTGCAATATCAAAATTATTGTCAACGTTATAAAAAAATGCGTCTCTAGTCTTTTTTTTTCATTTACATTAAACATATTAATAGAGAGGCGGTCCATTTAATGGTAAGTTCAAATAATCGATACTTTGGGAGATGCCACCTATAAAAGGTTGCCTTAATGTAACTTATATATGTGTATATATAAACATATGAATTTTGGGCAGTATATAAACCCTAAAAAATATTTTCTAATAGATAAAATTAAAAGTAAAATTACAATTTTTGAATTAAATTTAAATATAGAATTAATTTATGTTAACAATAAGAGAATTAATATTAAAAATATAGTACTTTTATTTGATTACGTATGTTCGATAATACATATAAAAATTTTTTTATGTGTGTGTCATTGCAATAAGTTGAATTGGTCCCAAAATTGCCATCTATGTACAAGTTTTTTTTTAACAATTATATACATACATACATATGACTACTTAGCCAAGTTAAATACAAACTTCCTACCATGAACCACAGGACGGTTTTGAGTATATTTTATTGTTGTAAATTTATTTATACATTGGTATTGTATGTTGAATTTTTGTTTAAATATAAAATAATTAATGAATGAAATTAAAACACATGCCAATTCATTACTTTCAAATTATCCTTATATAAGTATGTTAGTTGAATAGCATTGCATGTAATCTAAACATGTGTTTAAACATACCCAGTTTTATTTTAAGTAAAAATAGATTTATTACAAAATTTAGCTGATATTCTTTAACAACATATATATATATAAATATTATATAGGTAGGTAAGTGCGGTCGTCAGCCTCCTTTATTTGGAAATCGATATATTTGGATTGAATTTGCACGTTTTTACAGTATTTTTTCTGTATAGTTTCTAAAAACTATTTAACGCATAAAAAAATGCATAATATAATAAACTATACTCCCATATACCTGTACATTAGAAAGTATATTATACTCCATTTCATAATCATTTATTTATTTGTTAAACAATCTTTTAAGTTATATTTTTAACTTTTGTATCTTTATCATTATTCTCTTAACTATTAAAAAAAAAGATTGTTTAGAACACTTGTTTCAGGTTTGTGTTATAGATTCAGTATCTTTTAAACTCCTACTTCGTTTTATATACCCTGTGATACAGATATTCTAATTATATTATAAATTAAAATATAAATTTTATGTTGTATTTACAGTCATATGTATAATATATATATTCCCTTTAGTATACAGCCCTTTCCTGCGCCTTACTTAGTATCATTGATTACCTTTTAAAAGTTATCACGGTTGCTTTGTCAACAATTTTAATTTCATTTCTCACTTATACATAACATTTTCCATAAATATGTAGCTGCGTGTACAAAATGGGCTTCCTTTTTTTTTTTGAAGGAATAAATAGGAACGGCTCACTTCGTTTAAATTTAACATTGTAATTCGACATAATTCCAAAACGTCAATTAATCATTTTATCAGTCCTTGGACATATTTAAAGGATTTTCGTTGGTAAATAACCATAATTTGTTGTAGTTGGTATGGAATTCTACCCGGATACTTGTAAGATACTGCAAATGCTTCGCTAAATAAAAATTTGCAGCTTCAATAAAATATTAAGGTTATTTGATGAATTAAATGAACTGCACTGAATTTATCTTTGAGGGTATGGTCATTATTTTTTACAGATAATATTTTTATAGCCGATATCTAATCAATAAATATGTTCACATTTTCTTAAACGATATATTTGTAAGGTGTGCGTGCTTAAAAATGAATATTCTAATAATCAATTACATTGAGCATATTATAACAGACCTTATACATCAAATGACGACAAGTGGAAGATTTTGTTTAAGTTTGATAAATATTTCCAACTGGAATAATTTTGAAACATCCAATAATGGACTTTTAATATTACGGAAAAACAAAAACAATTTAGTTTTTTCCGAAATTAAATATAATCAAGCACGTAGTCGTTACAGATTATCTATTATTCTGTATATATTAGCGGAAGTGCATCAACATTTGCTACAAAGTAGTACAAGCATGTTTCGTGAACTTTTTTATAAGAATCCAGTATTTACTCGCAATCAAACTAACATTTATAGAGCGGTACACGATGTATGCGGTATCTTGCAAACGTCGCCATGGAATTTAGGAATATTTTCCTCTGGAAAGGGTCTTATTGCAGGTATTTTCTTATAATTATTTTATAAACATTTTTAATTTAATCTGAATCAAACAAAATACATTTATTTCTTTTATTGGACTGTTGTAGGTGCAATAAGTATCTGTTTACACAATGGCGATGTAATAGACTGTCGTAGACAAATGAATGCTACATTATTGCCTCAAGATATTAGAATGATTCATCATTTTCAAACGAATGCCGCACTTGTATTAATAATTGAAAAGGATACTGTATTTGAATATTTATTAAGCCGAAATATTTTAAGTTTATTAGGAGTAGATATTATACTAATAACAGGAAGGGGTTATCCTGATATGTGCACTCGTTATTTTGTAAATCAACTTAACACAATCTATCAATTACCTGTATACATTCTTGTCGATGCTGATCCATATGGTATTGAAATTATGCTTGTTTATCGTCATGGCTCAAGAACACTTGCAAATGGTGGTATACATTTAGCATGTCCAAATCTTCTATGGGTCGGTATTCATCCATCGGAGATCAATGTTATGCCTGTTTCGCAATCTGCGCTTAGTATGCGTGACCGTAAAAAAATAAATGACCTGCTAAAACGGAATTATTTAAGTGAGGGTGTTCGACATGAATTGCAAATACTTCATCAAATTAATTCTAAAGCTGAAATTGAAGGTTTTGCTAGTAATGCTATGGATTTCTTAATCAATGATTATATACCTAATAAGATAATAAGAAATTTATTAATATAATTTTTATTAATAGTTTTAAATAATTATAATAAAACCTTAATTATAGTTATATTATTCAAAAGGTTTGAAAAAGTTGTCTGTAAAATATTTTAAATATAAATGAAATAAACAATAAATCTTATATTCAGATATAAATACATGTATACATATATATATGTATATATATAAATATTGGATATACACATATACTTTCATGTTAGATGTAAATATAAATATATATAGGTAAAATAGTTATTTGTTAGATAATTTTTATATGCATTATTGTTTATATATTATGACACTTAATGTAATTTTTAATATCACTTAATTAAAATTAATTTTAATTTTTTTTTATCTTACATTTCAATTCATATTTTCTATTTTCTAATATTAACTAAGTAATTTCCAATTAAATTGATTATATTAAACCGAAAATATTTCGAAAGACCACTCCTAATGAATATTTGATAATATTTGAAAAATTTATATAAACAGCCATACAATTCAATTTAGTAAAATAAAATATTTGTTGTATTTTTTTAATATTTATCCATTTCTAATATAATGTAATGTTTGTAGATTTTTTTTAAGTTCAATTTTCGCGAATAATTAAAAATAACGCAAGAATATCATAGTTTTCTTATAGCTTTTATTAGGCTAAGATGCCATCGTTTGCAAGTTTTTTTTTTCCTTAGAGCGGGTTATTTTAATAAATAATGAATTGAATAATGATGAAAGGAATAAATAAAATAAATAAGTTCTTACTTATTATCTATATAAATATAAATTATTCATATAAGACTTGATCAGAATAAATAAATAAAATATAAATATTTATAAAAGAACTTGTACTTCATATTTCTATAAGTAATTTTATAAATTATTTTAATCCTGTTTAATTAATATATTAATAAGCACTCTTTTGTTACCATTTAAAGTTAGTCTAGTCTGGACGGTTAATAAAAGAGAAGTTAGTTGATAGAAATTGATTTTGCTATTGGAATATGCATAGAAAATTAAAATCGTTTCTTTTACTTAACATAATAAACGACAATGACCCTATATGACATATGAAATTATATCATCAAAGATAATGAAAACCAAATGTAAAAGGATAACTGTGCTAAAGGCTACAATAATGTGATTATGTCTCTAATACCATTAGAACACGCTTTTTAACGTATTTAAAAAAAAAATGCAGTAAAAATGTTAAAAATTTGTTTATGTTATAATAATTTTTTTTTGTTGACCTCTAGTTAACGATGCTTTTGGGACCGTATGTGATATTTACTACAATTTTATAATATAACGCAGATATATGTTATGTATTAGATTATACAGTAATATTAACAGTAACAACATGGTAATAAATAGTTCAAAAAATAGAAAACAGATTTTGTTTCGCAATAAATATAGAGAATATAAACAAAGATATATTAAATTTAAATTAATAATCAATAATATCTTTTGCATTTACATATTAAAAATTTTATTGCTTGGGATTAAAAATTGTATGCATATTTTTTTCTATTATTTATTTCATTAATTCATTTTATTAATTTATTTAAAATTATTTTTCTTTTTCAATAAAAGGTGGCTCGTTTATCGCAACACTGCTGCTTATATAGCAGTTCATGAAACATTATTGCATTTATAAATTAAGTGTTTACACTTGCAACGTACAACACTTAGTATTTTGGTCAAAGAATCTCAGTTTTGGGCAGTTAATTTTGTTTGGTCTGTTTAAAGTGATACCGGAGTTACCAAGAAATAGGTATAAACACTATTGTAATATTTTATATATTTATATATTATAACATTTTAATAATAGAAGATAAATATGTCAACAACAATGCGTACAACTCTCCAACCAGTTCCTGAATCATTACCAGCCGAGCATGTTACGAATGGTACAACAATGTCTTTAACAGCAGCAGTGGTTAGTTCGGCATTAACAACACTCACTGGATCAACTTCTACAAGTAATACAACACAATTACAACCCCAAGACCAGCAACATGTTATAAATAGTTCGGTGCATTCTGTAAAAGATCAACATGATTCTGCAAATGCCAACATAATTGGACTGCCACAAACTACTGTCGCTCCTGTAGTAACAACATGTATGGTTACTACAGCCACAAACAGTTTAACTTCCACAACTAATACCAATCAATCTCAGCCTCAATCTCAATCTCAATCTCAGCATAGTCATCAGCATAGGCATCATGTTACAAATAATGCTGCAATATCGAATATGAATCATCATCATCATCATATATCTGGAGTTGGTACCAATAGTGGCGGTGCACCAGTTATTAATAAAAGCGCTATAATATCTCATACTAATTCAACAGCTATCAAACAGCGATCAACATCAGCAAAGGTAAGTACTTAAAATTTTGCAATGTTTTATTTTTTATATAAATATATATATATATATATATATATATATTACCACTTCAATTGTACATAGGTATATAGGTAAATAAATTATTTATGTCATTTTAAGTCTTAAAATAATATTGAAATATTATTTTAATTTAATTTATGTAATTGCTGTGAGTCTAAAATATTTGGTTTCATTGTTCAACAAGATATGTTTCAATTTAAAATATATTTTTTTGTGAAAGAATGTGATCTGTCATATTCTGTTATAGCTGAGTTTCACTGAACAAAAAGAAAAAAGTGGTCGAGATTTATTGTCTCCTTCTATAATTACGAACTCCTCCTCAAAAGTTTTTCTGGCCGTCATTGAAAATGAAACTATCTTCTAGGAAAAAAAAATTATGTTTTATGGCATTACAAAAGATCTTTTAAAAAATGTACATCACTATTATTACAAATCCTTATTTTATTTGTATTCGATTTAAAGATTAAGATATGTTTATTTAGCTGATAATTCGTTATGTAGATTGAAAATTGTTATATTTTTAATATAATATATCATAATCTAATATAATATTCTATGCAATGGCATCGTGAATTCATTAAACATAGTGTGCCTATAATCTAATATAATATATTCAATTTTCAAATTGTTTATATGTTGCAATATTATAAAAAATAATTAATTAATAAATTAATAAAAATTAATTAAATTAATAAATTAATAAAAAAATAATTAATTTCATTAATTAATAAAAATCTAATTATTTTAATTTGATTCATTCAAATAATGTAAATTTGTAAATATTGTTATTTCTTTTTTTATATATATTTTAATTTCCTTTCTTATATATTTTTATTGACAAGTCTTATTTAATCGTGAAAAATTTTTTTATTAGTTTTTATTTTATTTATTTTTATAATAATCTTCTATATAATAATATGGAATTATATTATTAACAATATATGCACAAATATATAAAATAAAAAATATATATATAAGTATATATATTTTTTTAACTTTGAATAAACGTGGTTAACAAATATATATTTACTTTTCATATACAAATTTATTCTTTGTAGAAAATAACAATAATTCTTATTTATTTAATATGAATCTAGTCAACGTATCAAAAACTTTGCAGATTCTCGTAAACCGAGGAATATATAGAACAAATTAAGAACTTACTATAAAATATTAAGTTTATATAAATATAAAATTAAAAATATGAGATTAAAATACAAAAAAGTATAAATAAATAAATAAGTTTAAATATACATACATAAATAAACAAAAAAGTATAAATAAATAAATAAGTTTAAATATACATACATAAAAGTCTTGTTTGTGGTTTAAATTTTTTTATTTCACTTTTAAGTCATATATCACATGTTATATATGAAAATATTTTTTAGAGTACACCTAAAATAATTTTGTTTTCGTATTGAAAATATTTATATATACGAAGTTTTCTACAGAAATTTTTTTCTTATTTCTGTTAAGTGTAATTAACCGAGTCAGCTTTTTTTTGTTGTTAATTTTTAATTTATAGGGTTTTTTAGTACTGTTAGGTAACACTTTCTCTTTTGTTTATTTAATATATATGTTATAAGCAATTGTGAAAATTTTTATTTGCTTCTAATTATTTTGTTCATTTTCTTTTTTTGGTACTGTTAGCAGTAATTAATATTGTTTATTTCAATGTATATATATTGGCTTCTTGTGATCAATCTATATATATATATATATGTATATTAATCTTTAGTGGAGTAAAAGGGTTTACTGATTATTAATATGAATTCAAAATAATTGGGTAATTCATATGCATTGTGAAAATTTTAATGTGTGACTTAAGTGGTTTAAAGAATAATATTCAGGATTTTTTAATATCAATATAATGTCTATACCTCTTAAATATAGATATTGCTTTAATACTTAAGTAAATGATATTGACCTTTATTAATTTTAAATTTAGTTTAATCAAATTTGAATACGTATCATCAGTGGTCCTTATATTTAATGGTTTATTAGTTCATATATAATTTTATAGTTCTATGGAATTTTGAACCGGTTGAAATTTTGAAGTATTAATGCACAATCTTTTGTTATTAAAACATATTTAATACAGAAATATAATTTTGGTAAAAAATACTAATTAAAAAATCCATAATGTTGTGTTTTAATGAAATGACCAATTAGACCGTTTCATAATTAATAAATTTATTATTTTTAAACAAAAAAAAAATAGACAATATTTTAATTTATTTATTTAATTAGTATTAGTTTTTATCATTTATGTTTTAAAAAGATCAATTATTAAATAATAAAAAATTTATCAAATAAACTAAAAGAAAAATCATATTAAGTATTATACTGTTCGAATTCGAATGTCACAAAATGAATATTCACTCTACACCGCAACATTACTAGTCGATAATATCGATAAGAAACATCTTTCTTATATATATTATTTAAAAAATATTGATCATGTGGCCAATTATAATTATTTTGTTAAACAATATTATAGTAATATTACAAAATATGTATATATTCTATCTTCTATAAACATATTTTTACTTAATGTATATAAACACTTGTTTGTTGAATATCGTTATATTATTTAAATTAAGAAATTATTAACAATTAATTATTAAATTATTGTTTTATATAATACATATAGTTTATACATATATTATATAACTCAATCAAAAAGATTTCTTGTTTTTAATTATTTTCAAAACAAGTTTAACATATAACTTATCAATTGTATGTTTTAAATCTTTTTTTATAAATTAACAATATTTAATTCAATTAAATAATTAAAGTAATATAAATTATTATATAACTTATTTAATTATTAGTTTCTGACCTAATCCTTTTTAAATTGAAATAAATTACCTATAGATGTGTGCGAATATAATGACTAAAAAGACACTGAAACTAAAGTAAATATTAAAAGAAAAAATGAAATATGATATACATGAGTTGAGCACGAGAAAACCACCAAAACACTTTATCACTTAAATAAGTATATAATTGGTTCTAAAATTAAATAAAATTAAACACTAGCCACTTTTCTAACTCAATTTATTTCCTATATTACACTCATTAACTGTAAATGTTAAATGTATCGAATAGTATGAAATAAACTGCTTCAAGTTCCTAATAGTAGTTTTTTTTTGAAAGCTCTTATCTTGTCAGAGAACTGAAACCTTATAAATTTTTAAACTCTTTACCCTTGTGACCAATAAACTTTACTGATATCGCTCTTTCTTAAAGCTTTTCTAATTTACTCACTTTTTATTATGTGTATCGTCACACACTTTGCTGAAGACAGACAACAATGTTGATAAAATATAATAAAATAAATGATATAAGATATTTTTTTATCTCAAATTGCTTTACGCTATATTAAACGTATTACTTATAAAATTTTTTTTGTTTCATGTATAATATTTATTCATCAATGCTATTATTTGATGTATTTAGATAATATTGATAATATGCACTTATACATGTATATATATTTTTCTTAATAAAGAAAATCATTCAGGGTATAGGGAATTTAACACAATGTTTTATAAAATTATTTATGATACATTGAATTTAATTTTAACAAATCTTTAATGCAAGCAATATGGACTATGAATACCATATACCATATTTGGGATATGAAAGATTTGTTAAAGTTACAACTATTCTGGCTTAATTATCTAAAATGGATTCTATACATGCTTAAATACAAATACATATTTATCAGTTCTGTAATTGGTATGTAGAATATAAAGAATTTTCTTCACTTAAAATTGCATATATACCCTATAACGACTTTTGTCATGATTGTGATTTTAAATATGAGGAGGAAACTGCACTCCACCTAATGTGTAACTTTAAATTCTAGGTTTAAAATTTTCGGGACTCCTTTTCTTACCGACTTAACAGAGCTGGGAGATTTGCCTACAAAACTAGGGATTTGGCTAAGTTTATAGACTTGTCAAGTTAGTTTATTTTCACTTCAGTGGGTGAGTCGTGCCCTTCGGTGTTGTTCGTACGCTGACCGAATTTATCTGACTTGACCGTTAATAGTCCACTAATCCGTGATATCAAAACAGGTTATTATTTGAGTTTAAGTGAGCTTTAAATATTTCTATCGCTACTTTGTAAACATTAAACAAATAATAACAAACGAAATTTTTAACAAAAAGATATAATGTAAGAAAATGTTAAGTTAAATAAAAAAGATTGTATTTAATCTTTAACTTTTGACATAAATATAGTATTAATGATTACCTAGTACATTTAACTGATGAACCTTTGAATTGCCTTTTTGAATCAGGCGCTGTTTTTTTAACATTGAAGCATAAAGATTTGTTGATGGACTGTACCTTAGTTAATCTCAAAGTGAAATTCCACACTCGTTGGATTTTTATCATTAAAAATGCTAATGCAGAAGTTTCTCTACACAATGTTTTGTGAAATTTTTCAACGGAACAAGCTGCAGTTTTTAACATTAAATATGTTTACACATATGTTTTCTGTACAATTTTTGTAAAAATATATGATATTATTTAGTAATTTTTTTATTTTTAAAATTCTTTTATATTGTTAGTTTGTACTTTGGTTGTTTGTTTTAATATAAATAAGTATTTGAGCTAAGCTAACCACTGACTGAGTGCGCGACGAAAGTGAGGGAGTTGACTTCATAAATGAAATGATTCAAATAATGCTTTAAAATAAAGATTAGAATATATCGGTTTAAAGTTGCAACATTTAATATTAATTACGTAAACAAAAATTAATCTGTAGTCTATTACGCAAAAATAGCTTCAGTCACAGTTATTTGTGTAATCAATGTAAAAATTTGCAACTAAAAAGCGTAAATTTTGATAATCACGTTATATAGCGTAGTGGAGACAATTACTCAAAATCAGAGACATTACCAAAATCCGTAGTGTAAACACGACTAGGACAAAGAAACTGTGACTGTGTTGACTTTATGCCAGAAGTGTTTTTTTTGTATTCTATTTCATTAAAACATAAAAATATGTACAAATAAGTCAGTCAGTTCTGTAATGAAAATATTTCTATGAATGGAATAGTTACTTTGTTATTGTAGTAGCCCACAAGGACGTACTTGTGTAGTCCGTTTTGAGTGTTGTGAACGGCACTGGCTCGTTGAATTCGATGAATGCCTTCGAACGTAGACCCACTCGGACGTTCTTGTAACCCTTAATTACTTTAATAGTAAATGAAGAGTTTTTTGTTTCTTGAGCTATAGAAATATAAATTGAATTTGTGTAGTTTTAAAAACACTATATACTATATCATATTTATTAATAAAATTTATGATCTTTCATTATAATTAATATTTGTCTTCTAATTATTTGATTAACAAAATATTTATGTATGTTTATTATATATGATATTGTATCCACATATATACTACATATATGTAGATTTTTTATAAATAACTCCATATGTTTATCCTTTAGATTTTATATAAAAAATATTAAATTATTAGTTAATAAAATTAAATACACACAAACAACTTATTTCATGTTTATTATACTCGTAAATGCCGATTGTACTAATGTGATACCACCATATTTAAGTACTTATTTTTTAAGTGTCAATTTCTTTACTTTCACATAATTTTTTCATTAATTTTTTTTTATTAATTTTTTAAAAAAAAAAAATGTAAATCGTGCTCTTTTTCCTTCTCTTGACATATAGATTTTAAATAATTAATTACCAGTTTTCACTGTGCATAAAACCGTGTGTTAAACATTTTGTGCCATTTAAAAAAAACTCATTTTATATTTCGTTTTACATTTTCATTCACGAGCTTAGGAAATAAAAGCTCAACCACTAATTGGATTATCATTGCTTTTGAGATCTTAGTTAAGTAAAAACTTGAGAATAAAAATTGTATGCGTTTCAGAACAATATGAACAATTTACTGAGCTACTGAGGTACTGAGCTCTTAGTGGAGAAAACGAGCTTTCAAAGTCGTATTTTGTGTGCTTCAGTATGACGGTAGCATTTAACTGGGCTGTTCCTTCTCAATTGCGTTTCATATATTTGTTTAGTTTTTATTTTTATTTTATTGCGCGAATCTAATCACGCCTTTACAATATAAATTTTTATCGCACGGGAAATTTGATTAAGTACAATGATATGATAATAAATATCAGAAAATTTAAAATTTAATTGAATACCATTGAATCGTTTCTCATATTAAAATAAACGAACAAACTAACACGCTGGTAAACTAAACGTAATGTTTTTAGACTCTGTGTCATAATAACATAATTGTCTAATCAATTGCAAAAGTATAACAACGAAGTGTACATGTACAAACATATACTCGACATATATAAGTGAGCTGCGAAAAAGTTACCAATCACTAAGTGCTTTTTATGAGTGAATTTTAAAGAATTTTTTTATCCGATTTTTAATTCGTTTAATAGTTAAAAGTGCAAATCTTACGAATGACGTAATTAGCACACTTTATTGGAATCGAAATAACTTTTTTTTTTGTATAATATTTCTACTTTAAATGAATAAAAATACAAAAAGCTCAGTTGATCTGTAAAATCAGTGCGCGAAACTTTTATTGAGCTTTTAAGTGTATTCTACACGATGGAGAAGAGTGTTTTGTATGAAAATTAAAGACGACATTTTACATGCCGCAACAACAACAACTACAACCATAAAAATAGCAACAATCAAACTAACTAGTACAATTGCACTGGTCAATATACGAATGGGATTTTTTTTCATTACTTTTCTTTTTTTTATGTGATATTGTGTTTATATTAGTGTACATTTGTTCATGTAGTATTCTTTGTTTTGGTTTTGTGTAATGGAATTAGTTAATCATAAAATATACATACATACATATAATATTGCTTTTTATATAATAATAAATTCCGTCCTTTGTGAGTAATAAATTGCATATCATTACCTTAGATAAGTATAAATTTTAGTTAAAAAGGTTCTGAGTTACACAAGTATTTGTTTTCTTATTGGTTTTTAAAGCTTTTCTTAAATCGTGCATACACTCACTCATACTTAAGCAAAACCATTTGTAAATTCTCAATAAACGAGTTTTGTCATCCGCTGCTAAATGCTGAATCAGCGGAAATTTAAATATTAATTAATTTTAATAAATTACAATGAAACAAACTAAAAGTAATACTACATATATACGTTTAAATATAAATATGAAATTAGTTAACGTTGCTATTAATAATCATTCAATGAAATTGATTTGTTCTCAAAATCTATACACCAAAGAGTTGTATAAAAGAATTGCATTGAGCTTTGACTCAAAAGTAATGCTAAGCTATTTATACTTATTAGCTTAGCTTGAATTTAGTTTTTTTTGTACCAATACTTGCAATTTGTTTAATATATTTTAACCTTGTTTAATTTTTTTCTAGTTTGATTTCTATTTCTTCCATATTCCATTATTGAAAATGTTTAGAACAAATAACAAAAATAATAATATTCACACAGATCAGAATAGATATATTTTCTATAATTCTTGAAAAACATTTTTGATTTTAATTATAAAAAATTATAATTATAAATTAATTTAATTATAAAAAATAATTTTGATACACTTACGATCACTAATTAATGTTCATAACTAATAATATTTGAAAGAGAAATAAATGATTCATATTCAAAAATTTCAGTTATTACTTGAGGATAAAAGTTTTCTAAGAAATAGAATCGAGTCAAAATATATATATGTTAAAAATAACTTTTCTTAGTAAGTACTTTTGAACAAAAGTCCAATACTCTCAGATGCCCCGTAGAAATATCAGACTTGTGGTAGATTTGCTCACGGGTCATAGCCGATTAGGAAATCATTCTAGAAGATGAAATCTTTCTTTTAATCATGCCTGTTGTAGTTGTGAAGAGCACGATGAAAGCTAAAGGTTCTGAATGGTTTTTGAACTACTTACTTTCTTATACGGTAATATAATGAGCCAATAGGCCTAAGTGGATCCTTAGCATCGCTGGTTTAATCTAAGCTAACGATTAATATTTAATTGTATATTTTTTTGGATTAAAAATTTATCACTGAAACACTACTTAAACTAAAAATGGTTTATGAAAAAAATATATCAGTTTTTTAAAGTAACTAAGCTTTCCTTCTCGTAATTTAGTTTCGTTTCCCACATAAATACTATGACACAACTAGTTTCACTTTAATCAAGAAATCTTAGTTATTTTGAATTCAGTATCACTTGAATAGAATTGTTCTGACATTACTAAAATTATTTCTGACTTTTTAGATGAGGTATAAATTCACTTTTTGATATATTGAAATAATTATTAGTTTATTGTTTAATGAATTACATTATATTTCTAAAACAATTTTACTTTATTGATGTTATTATAAAAAGTATTGAATTACAATATTTATATTCCAATAATATTACTATAACCTCATTCTAACAGAAATGCACTTTTCTATTATTGTAGTTATTATTAGAATGACAATCTCTGAAACTCAATCCGGTTTCAATAACAAAACAAATAACTTATATTAAGCCAGCTCTAAGTACAAATTTTATAAGAAATTCACTTTGAGCATGACAGCTTCTGTAGTAATATCTTTTGTATGCGTCAAATCTAGTCACATATATACCTTTTGAATAAAGACAAGTAATAACTGTAGTAACCAGATTTACACTAATCCTTACTAAATTTGGTAGAGTAGCAAACTTTTTGTTTCAGAACTTTGACCAGAATTGCTTTGATATATGGCAGATTTTGTTTTATATCTGATAAAATATTTCAACAAGAAAGTAGGTATTCTTATGTGTAAAACTATTGTATTATCAGAAAATGTCTGGTAGTGTTCGCAATAAAAGTCAATCGTAATAAAAAACTGTTTATTCATCAACAAATATCGCACATTTTTACAAACTGAATCCTTGATTTACTATGAATTCTAGACCATAACAAAATTACATTGAAAATTTAATTGATTAATTGATTGGCACTCTATTCAAAGCAAGAAATACATATGCATTAATCTAATTTAAAAAATTGTATGCGTTGTAACTTGGGTCACAGCGAAGTATTTCCTTTATTATAAATTAAAATTCTATACATAGTAACGACCTCAGAATTCCATTTTTTTTATTTGTAGTTGTACTAAGTATCCCTTATTTCTACCAATCCACTTTGTTGTATCATTTAGTACTAGTTTTCTTGGTTTGTACATTATTTTTCATTTTTATATCCGTGTATTGATTTCTACTGTAATTTTTCTTTGTCTATGTTGACTTAGTAGTTATTGTCAATACTAAAAATAAGGTTCATTTTTCTTTAATACGTGTACATTAAGTAACAGACAAGACACGTAAATTTATGTTTTTTGTTAGAATGACTTGATAATGATTATATTTTTAAATTTTTTTTTTGTTGTACATTTAAAGAAGTTATTGATTTTTAGATGCCCATATAATCTTAGGTTTAACAAAAACTAAATGCTTATTCAATTTATGTAATTGCATTGTTTTTAGTAAAAATTTCTATATAATGCTCTATAATGACAAGGGACATCGAAATGATTATGGGGCAGGAGCGCATATCTTTTCTAGTATTAAAACTCCACAAAAGTGGACAACCTGACCTTCCTTTATAAAGCAAATTGCCTTTTGTTTAGCTAAGGGCAGTTGTACCACAAAAACTATATTGGTCGCAGTGCTTCATTTAAAATGAGAGACTATATCATTGTGTTTATTGTATCTGTGACACGATTAATTGTAATTTTGTTACTAGTTATTAAACATTTTTTATTGCTGATATTTCATCACTCAACATATTAAAGTTTTCTTTCAATATTAAAATATCATTGGTATATAATTTTAGTTATATTGTTATTTTAGTTATATTTTTCATTTAAAGAACTCCATGATAGTGGATAACTAAGTTTACATTCTTGGAAATTCTACTCTTGAACAGTTTTAATTGTATCAATTTTAATACATAAAATTTTTTTTATGGATGGTTTTGATCTTTTCAATATAATAATTAAATTTTTGAGTTCTGTGAAATAATATTTAAGAAATTTCTTGTCATTTATTACCTGTCACCTATAAAATCAATTATGTCACACAAATGTCATATTGAAGTTGTATTGTTTAACTATATATATTTTTGTACATCTTTAATCAATTAAACACAATATTTTTTGACTTGATTTATAATTTTAATCCTATATTTTGCTAATAGAACTCTATGCTATTAAAAATAAGACTTTAAATTCTTTGTTAGTCGTATATACACCTCTTGAAAATTTTAACTAATAATCCTAATGCTAATTTGTCAAGAGTACTTAAATACAATAAATCTTATTGAGAAACTCTTATAAAATAAAATATTTTGTTTGGTGAGCAAAGCAGAATACATATTTGAAATGCCAACAGATATAACATATGTAATTATAGAAAATCTGTGAATAGATATATTTATTTTATATCTCACCCAGCTTACTTTAATTTCAGTTAGTTTATTAGATGGTATATCTTTAGTTTCGTCGTTAGTTCTTGTAACCTTGCCTAATGATAGATTTATAAATTTTTTTCTTTATTTAAAATGTTGAATTTTTTTGTGTATTGTTATTCTCGTTAGTTTTAGATAGAACGATGATTAATTTCTGTTTCAAAGCGTCTCATTTTACACAGTATGGTGCGAAATCTATGCACGTACCCATTAGTTTCACTACTGTATGTATGCAGAGCACAAATATTGTATGGTTTATATAGTAACACAAATAGTCAGTTCGATAAAGTAAAGCTCAAGTTCAAGAACCTTTTAAAATTTAATCAACTATGTCTATTATATCATAAAAGAAAAGAAAATCCTTTTATAATATTATAAACAATATTGTCACATATATTATATCTTATTATAAATGTTTTCATAAACTGTAGAAAATAATTTAAATTATTACGGAATAGATTTTTTTACTGGTCTGCATAATATTTCGTACTCTTTTAGTAAGCTCGTTCTCATTATAATAAACTCATCTAGAATTGTTTGTTTAATTTTATTACCATAAAACTTTATTTCTAATATTCAATTTTTTTTAGATTTTTTTGTTTACAATAAAAAATTTTTTTGTCTTATATTTGTAAATTTTATCAATAAACCGAATAAAGTTATTTAAAGTCGACACTTTGACACTTTGATAAAATCAATTATTACTCGATAATATAAATGTTGAGACTGACATTTCAAATAACGATATGTGAAAAGTGATATTGTAGATATAATATGGGTCAAATTTCTAGTAATCAAAATACAAGTAATATAAGTAATCATTTTATAAGCCGAAAGAATTCATCAAAGAGATGTAGAAAAGTGCAAGCAATTGATTCTACTGTCCAACCAGAAATACGTTATAAAACGTATTTAAATGACGATGTAAATCAACAACCAAACAGTTCAACACTCGATCGACTGTACACGAATGAGAAAAGTTCGTGTAACATTGATAACAAACCAGCTTCTTCCAAAGAGAGTAGTACAACACAAGTACATAAAACTTATATGCCAACTGCAACAACCAATTTGCCAAATGATACAAACGATAATAGTAGTACCTTAGCGCTGAAGAAGAATGAGTTTTTAATAGCAGGCGATAGATATCATAAAACTGATAATTGTTATTTTCGCAGTGTTAATGGTAATTTTCATAAGTTACCATCGGATTCTTTTCACAAAATGGCGCCCGGCTGCTTTGTGCGCATGGCGGATGGAACTTTTCAGCGCTTTGAGTCCGCAAAAAGTAATTGTCCCAGTAACATTAAATTACATAATCCAATTGATGTTGTGG